TAGCCGCAAGGCCTAATATCCGCTGACAATACGCGTAAACAAAATAGGCGTGACATACGATACCTAGCGACACCAATCACACAAACCAATCGATCAAGAGCACGTGCCGCGGACACGCCACGATCACGTGCACAGCGAATGAAGACAAAGCGGCGTCAAGTATATAATCCGCGGCGCCGAATTAATCGGGACCAGACCGATCCGGACCGTCAATCGAACTCAATGCTATACAGCGGAGAGCAAGGACTACGACCGACTCGTCTCTATTTCCTCAGCCTACCCAGTTGCACATCCTCGCGAGCAAGGACCGAAGCCAGTACATTAGCTCTGTCGATCTTTATCGACTCTTGCTTGCATCCCGTCCACGCCTCGAACAAGGACTGAAGCCAGTACATTAGCTGCGCTCTGTCGAGCTTTCTCGATCCTTGTTCTTAGCCTCTCGACGGGCGAGATCGAGAGTGAATACGCCGATACATCGACTACTCACTCACAATCTCGTCACCTGCGAAACAGGCGTGCGAGCGAGCGCGTCTCCACCGCGAACGCGAAAACAGCGTGTCGTGCTGTGACACGGACTCGATACCGCAGACACCGCGCGGTCCCCGCGATCGACCACGCGAGCCGCGCACAAATCGCAACCGCCGAATCGTGACACGCGACCGCCTGCCGAATATCTGAGGCGAGCCTAACCTTCGCGCTATACGCTGCGCCTACCGTCTTAACTATCGCGACACGCAAAAACCGCGACCTGGTAACTGGCGCCGTCTCCCAGCAGGACTGTACACTAACACGCGATTACTCTGTAGGAAGGCTCAATAAATCTTTTTGTTATTTTTATTTATTATCATTCGCGTCGTATTATTTCATGAACCCGGACTTCGACGAGCGACTAATTCCTTGGCACCAACAACAACCGACACGCGGAGTTCGGCTGTTACATTGGCGCCCGAACAAGTTGATACGCGAAGTAATACAAGTAAAAGCAAAGCCCGAGTACAGAGCGCGAATGACGTCGTGGGTATATAAACTATTAAAAAACAAGATTACAGAGCAGCTACTAAGACAAAACGTAGATACAGAGGGAAAATTCGAGGATCTGAGACAACGACTCGTACAGCTAGCTAAAAGACAACCAGAATTATTTACAGATACGAGTAACAGTAACTTGGTTGACGGCACAGGAACCGAAAATAAAGTCGCGATGCCAAGAGACAACGATTCCGCTACAACAATGTAGCCTGTGGAATCAATCGCGAAGATAATGAATCAGATAAGAAAATGGGGATGTCATTTCGACGGACGCGATCCTCACTCGTTTTTGGAATGAATAGAGGAACTGAGCCAGATATACAGATACCCAGGCGAATATCTACTAAAAGGGCTACCGGAAATGTTAAGGGGCGAGGCTCTATCGTGATTCCGGAATGGTCGCGAGAATTGGCACTCGTGGGAAGAGTTTCCCGGCGATTTCGAAGCGGAATACACACCACGAGAATCGCAAGTAAGAATGCGACGACAGGCAAAGGGACGAGAACAGAAGGAAGGAGGGTCGTTCCGGAGCTACGCTAACGACCTGCTCAAGCTCATACGAAGAGCGGGCGGTTGGTCGGCGAAGGAACTACTCAATCTCCTCTACGAGAATATGCTCCCCGAAATAAAACGATTTGTAAGACCGGACGAAGTGGACAGCATGGGCGAGCTACGTATGAGAGTAACAGAGATCGAGCATGTCGAGCAACAAATTAGTGAAAGGAAAAAGGAGAAACCGGAAGCACAGGCCCTCCAACCAAAGGCATCGCCAGCAACAACAATGCCATACAACAAGGACGAGTGCTGCTGGCGATGCAAACAAAGGGGACATAATAGATTTTACTGCAAACGACCACTGCGGAAATTCTGCTCGCAATGAGGCAAAGACAATGTGCTAACAAGGAAATGCCATCCACGGCCAGGAAACGGACAGAGGGTCGAGTTCAAGAGGGAAACTCGGCCCAGCACAGTCCAGTAAAATATACACCGAGACCTTTTATCAAAATTAGAATAAATGGGTAGGAAATAGAGGCATTAATCGATTCGAGGTCGGAAACATCATTTATAAAACCAGAAACAGCACAGAAACTACAACTAAAAATAAACAAAACGAACGATAACGTACGATTAGCTAACGGAATAACAACAGAAATAACAGGAAGAACAGTAGAAATAAAAATTAAAATACAAGATAAAGAATATCAACGGAGGGTAAGAGTCTTACCAAATCTCGGGTGCTCAATGATTATTGGGACGGATTTATGGGCCGACTTACAATTGACGCTACCGCCACCGCCGTACAGAACCAAGAACACAAATAAATACATGCACAATAGACAAGAAACTGACACGACGAACAAAACAGGAAGACGAAATACTAAGGCAGTTTCTAGCAAGAGAACTATTAGGACCTTAACTTAGTTTCCGCCCGCAAATGTTAGATGGCAATGCAAACAGTTCTAGTAGTCATTACTAACGAAACAGGTAGTTTGTGATTAATTTCGACATTTCTCGATAACATTCAGTCAGCATACACAATTATTTTCCTAAACAACAATTTCTTTTGCTTTGTGAAAAATGGAACGCGATAAAGTGTTTTTTCGACATGTGCTTTTGCACTATTTTGATTTGAAAAAAA